GGAGGGAGCCGCAGGCGCTATGGGGATGCTGGGCTGGACGGGGAGGGAAGGGGTCGAGAGGCGGCGGCGGCGGTGGTGGTGTAACTCACAGGGCTGCCCGACTCTCGCTCCTGCCCTTTCTGGCTGTGCAGACTGCCGATCTCAGTCTGGGAACCAGAATGAGAGACTCCCTCAAAGAAACGCCTGCAGAGAAACAGACAGACGGACGGACGGACGGACAGACAGATGGGAGAGAAAAAGGCAGGAATAAGAGAGGAATGAAGTCACTGGGAGCCCAGCAGCTGCCCTGCTGGCCTGTCCCATGCACAGAGCCCCACGGAGGGGCCCTCCACCACCGGTGGAGATGCTGGACACAGGGCTGGACACCCTAGTGTCCGAGTGACCCACAGCCCAGCAGGAGACCTCCTGCCAGGCTGCCAGCCCCACACTCCATGGCCCACCACAGCAGTGCTGGGTGCAGGGGCAGGATGGGGGTCACACCAGCCAAACATGGCTAAACCAATGACTCCGGTGAGCTGGAGGCAGGGTCTCTGCCCCAGAGCCAGCAGCAGTTTCCCTCTCAGGTTATCCCTTGCCACTGCAAAACAGGGAGAGGACCCTGTGCCAGCCATGTAGCTGCCCTTCTCGCTGGTGTATGGTCTCTGCCAACAGCACAATTTGAACAGGCTGCTGAGCCTCTTTGCCCCCTCCACGCCACCACGGCTTCTGCAGACCTCCACTGCCTTCCTCTCTCCTTCCCCTTTTCTGGGGAGGCTCTTTGCCTCCGACTCCTGCCACTGCACACTTTCAGCAGCAGCACCACCTTCTCTTTTTGCTTTCTCCTTTCCCACAAGTCTGAAGGCCACACTGTATTGCAGACAGAGCTGCACCTCTAGCAACACAGCCTGTCCTGTTTTGTTCCCAAACATTCCAATTTGCTTTGTTTTTTTTAAAGCTCTCTGAGCTGATGGTTTGGTAGAGCTGCACAGAGTAACCCCAAGGTCCTGCTCCCAAGTCACAATGGTCAACGCAGGCGCTCCCTGGGGGCAGCAGGACTGGCTCTGCCACCACACTGAGAACTGACTGCTTCCACCTTTGTTTCCCCTCTTTCCATCCATTATTTGTTCTCCTTCCATACCCTGTGGGTGGTTCGAAGACTAGTCTTTGGGAAACCAAGCAGGCTCCATCAGGTGGGGCTCACCTGTCAGCTCTCCCAGGCCCCTTTGTAGTGAACTGCAGCAGGTCTGCAATGTGAGACTTCCTGTGGCAGAGCTGAACTGGCTTCCTCGTGAGCTGTACTTACAGAGTCATGCACTAACTCCCAGGAAAATTTTCTCTTGATTTGCCTGGTGTGCAGATAGCGCTACTGGGTTGTAGTTTTCCCAGAACAGTTACAAATGTGGGACGTGGAGTAGTTCTTCTGCTAGGACTCTGCCAGTTTCCACTCTTTTCTATTTTCTTCATCCAGACATATCTTCAGCTTTCTGCAGGATGCCTACAGCCTTCTGAAGACCTTAGCTACCCCCTCTTTCTTTTTAACATGTTTCCTCATTTGTATAGTGTGCTGTGCTGCTGGGCACAACTGCGTTTGCTGTGTTCTTTGCTTTTACTGCTCCTACAAGGACGTTTCATCTCAGTAAATGCTGGTCCCAGCTGCAGAGCGGCTCTTCAGCAGCAGCATTTAAGCACTGGCTGGGGCAAGTCAAGGCTCGATTTTTCCCTCGCTGGCTCCATAACCAGCTACTTCATGAGGTATTTATTTACAGAAGATACAGATTTAGAGTCAGCATTGTGCCCTGATGGGACATTTTCCCCAGGTCACACAGGGATAAACTGAGGTCTCCTGTTCTTACCATATTTCTGCTCTCTCTGCCTCCCTAATCTCCTTTAGAGCATCTTAGGCACTGTCACCACCCTGTACAGCCATTATTCTACACTTGTCCTTTCCCAGCCAGCAATTTCAATCCACCCCGTTCCTCTCCTGTACTCCTCTGTACTGTCTCACTAATTCCACCAGAATGTGACATACTCCTGGTGCCAACAGCACCTGGAAAAGCAGGTGTCATGATCTTCTCCTTTTGGAGAGCTGAAACACATTGGATGTGTCTAGAAGAATGTGTACATCTGGTCTGGCTTCCAACACCCTAATTATATGGGGCTGTCTCCCCCTTGCCCCACTGAAGCTGTGTCTGTTTCTGCCCTCTCTCACTTGCGATTTGCAGTGTTTCATGTGTCATGCTGAGCCTGGAGCTCTTGCACAATCCTCAGCTCTCTCTGTTCTGCACTTCAGGCTCTCTTATAATTGCATTCGAGTCTGACGCTCAGCAGGTTCAGGTTTAGGCAAATCCCAGCCCTTCTGCACAGCCTCTCTCTATTCTAAATGCTTCTCCTGTTCTCAGCGAATTAACCTCCCTCTCCCCTATCCCATCTTCTCAGCCGGCAATAGAGACGTTTGCTCCCTCACCTCTCGTCTTTGATCAAAAGCCCTGACCGTTGAGGTCTTACCTATCAGCCTCAGTTCTGGCTCCTGCTTGGCCCCTGCGTGGGAGCAGTCTACAGCTGCACAGTCTCCCTGGCCACTTGAAGGGATGGTTCTCTGCTCCGAAGGCTGCTGGCCCATCCCAGGGCACTGGCCACTGCTCGCCCTCAAGGACTACCTGAATGCCCTTACTCCACAGAGAGCGCCATGGTGTCTAGCAAGGCTATCTCAATAAAAAAAAATCCAAAGTGAGGAGCACATCTTGAATTTACAGGCTAGGTTGGAAAGTCATTGCCAGCTTCCTTAGGCAATCAGGGTGCAAAGGCTACACAGGCCATCAGGACCGTGAATTCTATGCTAAGGAACTTGGCACCTGGCTCCCACATCTACCTGGAAGTAGAGACTCAGTGAATGAGAATTCAAGGGAATATTACACATGCAGCGCTGCCAAAAACTGAGACAACAGAGAGCAAACAAGGCTAGGGACACTTTGTGAACAGGCTGAAAAGCAGCCCAGGGCCTATGGGCAGAGCAAGCATGAGGAGGCCCTCCCAGTGAGCAGACATTTGTAGGTAGGGACTTGCAGAACCCAAGGGGCGGGTCTTATATTTAGACACTCCCAATAGACTTTTCTTATCGTTTTACACCACTTACTTACATATGTAAAACTAGGACTGGTTTTCCTCCCTCTGCATGTGTGTCCTATTTTTCTAGACTGAATTCCACCAGCTATTTTATTGCTCAGTGCTTCAGCATGGTGGCTTCCTGCTGCAAGCGTCACCAGTGACCTCAGCCACCTCCCTGCTCCCACGCTCTCCCGACTCCTACACAACTGTGCTGAACAGGGGAGGCCTCACACACAACCCTTTGGGCTCCCCTGATGAGCTCTCTCCTCTACTGGAAACGACAGCTCACTTTTAACCTTTGCGTCCTGGGCTTTAAACTATTGTCTGTCCACACAAAGACCTTCCAATTCTTCCACAGCACCTTAGCTTCTTTAAAGCCGTTGCTGACAAACCACGTGAAACTCCTTTTGGCGATCCAAGCACATCACTTAAGCAGCTCCTCTTTGCTCACACACCTGCTCTCTCCTTCACAACAATTTGTGTGTTTGTGGGAGACACGACTTCTCTTTAGGTTCCTGTTTCTTTCCCACTGCCCCATGGGTCCATAAATCCAGCAGATTTCCTTTCAAATAGTTTGCCTGGGGCAGATCAAGTCTGCTATTCCTCCTCAGTACCTTCAGCAGGAATTCAGACTGATCCAAATTATACCTAAATACTGAGCTAGAGAAAAAAATAATGACAAAAAAGCTTGGCTTGGCTTGGCTAGAAGAGACCCAAGGCACTGAGGCAGCCAAGTAGGAGACAATAAAGGGATATGCATTTGACTTTTCAAAAAAAGTGTTGGTGAGTTTCTCACAAAAGGACAGCACGGAAACAGAACAGCCATGAGCAGAGAGGCCAGGCAAATTCAGATCACGTGGGAGAAAAGCCTGATTTCTCTGCAGGATCCACTGGAGACCTCTGTGCCAAGGCAGCAGTGCCTGGCAGAGCAAATCACACCACTGGGCACCTTAGGAATGGGATGGGGGGGCATCACTGACCGTTGATAGTTGCGTGTCTCCACACAGAAAGGGAACACAGCATGCGGATCCCACAGGGACACAGGGACCAGCCCTAGCTGTCAAAGGACAAGGTGCTCAGAAGATGGAGATGCTTCAGTGTGGAGAGCCTGACAAGGCCAGGACTGTTAGCAGAGAGGAGAGCTTGCAGCATCAGCTCACTTAGATCAAGTAGATACTCTTCCAGAAGCCCAAGAAGAGTGTCAGATGATGGACTGTGAGGAAACCAAATGAGACTAAATATGAGGAAACCCAATTTTAGTGGGGAATTTTGAATTTTTTTAAATAGAAAACGCAAGTGGTCTGTGTCCTTGAGGTGAAGAGCTCAGTGGTGTCATCAGAGGATGGGATCTCTGATGGGGATGGAAGCAGAGATGGGATAGCGCCTGCATTAGCTCAAGCAAAAAACAAGTGTTGGAGGCCATTTCTCCAGGTTCTGTGGACTGCGTGGTTGGCCTGTGGCTCCCTGCAAAACTTACTTACCTCAGGGTGGGCTTGGGCGTGCTGTGCACACTCTCATTGTCCTCAATCTCTGGGCCGCTGTCACTGTTGTTGCACTCTTCCAGGCTATCATAGAGCAAGCCCAGGTCTTCCTCTACCTCTTGGGTCTGGTCCACGGGGTCAGAGTCCAGGACCTGTGGTACCAACCCAGAGGACAAAGAAGAGTGATGGAGTCACCCTGCAACCCAGGCCAGGCACGCACAGACCTGAGGCACACCATGGCACTGCTCCCACCTCAGCTTCCCCCACCAGTGCACAGAAAGCCAAATTCAGCCTGTGGAGGGAGCAGATGACATTGTTATTATGCCAAAGGAGGATGCCGTGCGTGCAATGCATCAGGCACCCACACTCACTGGAGTTGGGACATCTGGGAGGATCCCTGCTGGCTGCTGGCTACCACTCAGTGCAGGCTCCCAGCCAAGGCCAATTACCCCTGCACTGGCGTTAACGCCTGCCTTCAATGGTGAGCAGGATGAGTGCGGCCCTTGCAAGGCCAGCTCCCTGGTGCAGAGCCAGCACCCCTTCTCCCTGGGCCCCTCTCCCCAGGCAGGCTTTCTTGGAAGCTGTTTTTGGTGTGAAAGTGAGGCTCAGAGCTGCCTTCTCAAGGCAGGGGCCTTTGTAAAAGGCCAAATCTGTGCCGTGTCTCATGCTACCTTTGGTGACAGGCTGCCAACAAGCATATCCCCTTCTCCCACCATCCCTGAGCACCTGCAGCTCCTGCTCTTTGCTTCCAGTGAGCTGGAACTAGCGTCTGGCACCTACACATCTGCAGGTGATACTGGCAGGTGGGGCAGGGTTCCTGCTTCTTACCTCCTCTGTCACTTTAAACCTCTTAAGCAAAGCCACAAATTTCTGCTTGAAGTTTGGTTGCTGAAACAAAAAAAGGAGAGAAAAAAGAGCACCAAAACTGTCAAAGCCAGTTGCAAGATGACTAATGCACTACCCACAACTGCCCTCTTCAACAGCCTGCTGGCTCCTTCATGAGTCCACAGCCCCCAGGTCAGCTATGATCGCCCCAGCCCCTTAAATTTGCTGTAGGAGTTGGACTAAACCCAAGCTCTGCTGGAAGCCACTGTATCTGGGCATGAGATGGGTGCAAGGACTCGGACTCTCTCTGCTGCAGTCTAGAATAGCACTTTCTCTCCATTTAAATCCCCTTCCTCCCCAGACCATCTGGTTGAGAAAGGCTGTCTTTAACTAAGAAAAGGCTGGCAATAAACTCAGAAAGAACCTGCCCAGGGACGCGCAAGGCTGAGGGGGATGAGGACAAGGAGGTGTTCAGAGACTAGGGAGCTGGTTGACCAGTTCATGCCTTCTGTTGGCAGGCAAAAGAGCTGCTAATGGTTCAGCCTTCCTCAAGCCTGCATTCTGTTTCCTCAGGGAGGGAAAGACGAGACACCATGTCACAGCAGCGAGTCAAAACTGTGTTGCGCACAGAGCATTATCTACACAAAGTCAAGCAAATCACGGTACTGGTCATGAGCTGGGGCACGGCTTGAAGCGTGTGCAGGGCTGTGAGCAGCCAGATAACTCAGTAATGGCAGGACGCTCGCCCCCTCTTCTGAGGGCCAAGGGCTCTGTCCCCCACTCTGCTCGGGCGCCTGGCAGGACCCTTAGAGGGCTCCCCTCCGGTGGGAACAGGCTAGTGCTCTGCATCCTCCATCTCCACTCCACCCTGCACTCCCTGCAAGAAGGGGATGAAATCAATCCCTTCCATCTCTTTGATCATGTAGGAAACACTGATGTTACTCTGGTCATCGATGTGGTTCGGATCATTTTCCTCCTAGCCTTCTTGGTTTTTCTCAAATCGTCCTCTTCATCAAACAGATCCTGCAGGTGAGAGGCCACAGCACATCAGAGCAACTCAGGGTTCAGGGAGCAGCATCTCCTGGGAGCACCTCATCCCATGTTTGCTCCCCATTTTGAAAAGGTTGGGGGCCCACTCTGTTGCCAGAGCCTTGCTGCTCACTTCCCCCACCTCTCTCCAAGCACCCCCTCCCTAGCATCCTCCCCACAAAAACCTTCTTCCCTAGTGCTCTTGCCCCCAGATCGCTCTAGGTAGATGAGTGCCACCAAGGTTCCCAGGAGAGGCAGCAGCCTTCTGCATGCAGTTCTTACTACAACCTAAAACTCTTATTTTCTTGCTCACCAGCCTCCCCACAGCCCCTGTGTCGCACACAGTAACAGCAGAGACAAGGTCTTTGGGGCCGGAGGAGAAGCCAAGGACTCAGCCCAAGCCAAACAAGAAACCTGGGTCACACAAGCGTGTCCCTCCAGGGTTCAGCCTCAGTTGACACACAGCTCCCAGGGACACGGGGCCCTGATGTGTTAGCCCAGTCTGATGTGGCAGGTAACACGGAGGACCCTGAACAGACCAGATTTTGTCCCTGTTCCTGATCAGTACGCTACCACGTGGCTTTCTTGGCCTTAACTGTAGGCACCACAACAGGACAGCAAACAGCACAGGCACAACTCATCACAGGGCTGTGGTGGGTTTGCCACCTCTGACCATTTTCGGACCCAGCCTGTACTGCTTCCTAAAAGCTCTGCTCTCTCTCCAAGAGAGGGCAGCTCAAGACAGCCTCTGGTCTGTGCTCACAGGGAGACAGGAGAGAGAATCAGTGGTGCAGGGTGGAGGGGGCCCAGCAGCAGCTTTATGCTGCAGACAAGACCTCTTCAAGGACACAGGGGCAAGACCTAAAGGTCTTCCAAGTATACCACCGCTCTCCAGAGCCCCCTGCCCCACCATGCGTCTGACAGCAGCTCAGTCCTTCCTACTGTTAGATATTGTGGTTTTCTGTCTCCTGAAACTATGATAAACATTTGCATGGGAGATGAGAGGGCTCGGGGTGATGGAGACCCTCAATCCCTACTCCTTGCTCCAGAGATAGGCCAGGGCATGAGCCACTCTGCCAGGCTCCCTTACCTGGCCCTGTACAGCATCATCACTGGCTTCCTGCTCTGAGGAGAAGCTGTCATCCTCTTCTTCAGAATAGTTATCGATGTCTGGGGAGCGATCTGTAAACAGACAGTGCAGCATTTCCCTGGAATGATACCTGGCTCCGGGGAAATACTCAGTGCTGCCGATAGGTGCTTGGGGACACACCCCAGCACCCACATCCTGCCCCAAACACTTGTCTGCAGGTCTATGATGAACATTAACGCACCTGAAGCTTTGATTTTAGGACCTGAGGGGATGCTGCCATCCTCGTGGTCAATGGGCTGGCTAGACAAAGAGTAGATGCTGATTTCAGCCACCCGGATGTTCATGTCTTTCATATTGCTGTGGAGGCCCAGCAGCTGTCCTCCATCAGTTGGGTGCTGCATCACCTAGGCAGAGAGACAAGCCTTCTGCCAGGGTGACACGGGGGTGGCTGGCAGCCCATTCCCCTCAGCCTCATGGCTGGCTGACAAGCCAGAGGACTCACAGCACTGGCTGCCTACCAGCCTCTGGCCGGCCCAGCTCCCTTCCCAGCATTGGCACAGGGAGGCCATGCCAAGCACCTTACCTCAGCCATGTTAATGATGCCTACTGCAAGGGTCTTGTAGCCCAGAATCGTGCGGTTCTTGTACCTCTTCCTCCGCTGCAGCATGATCTGCAGTTTATTGCCATCTCTCTTGAGAAAGTGTGGGTACTGGGGAAGGAAAGTACAGAAAGATGGTAGCACACGGGACTCTTCCTCAGGACTGATGGACAGTGGGGTCTGACCTGCTGACCTTTGAAGTGCCCCTCAAAGGGCACTCAACATCCTCCTCCAAGTCCTTGTTGCCCAGCAAAACAACCCCCTGAAGCACCTGCAGCAGCTGGCCAGCAGCAGGGCTCTGGGCTGTTATGATCTGAGCAATGCCAGCAAGCCCAGGGAATGGGGCATTGCAAGATACCTGCAGGGAGAATGTCAGCTCCAGCTCAGTCTCCATCAGGCCGCCCGGTGGGAGGACATATTCATTGGATCTCAGAACTCGCTTCGAACCCTGCAAAAAGAGTGGGAGATGCACACAACTAAGCCAGAGTGTCTTGGCCACAGACTCAACTGCACAGCACATATAAAGCAAATGGCATCCACAGTTCACAAGAAAGAGCTGGCGCCTTGGTTCAGCCCTGTTTCGTCTCGTGGAGCCACCTTACACAGACCAGTCAGCACCACGAAAGCCTATGGCTTCTCCTGAGCCACTGAAGGCCTCTCCTCCCTGGCCATCTGCAAGGGAGTGCTTGCTAGTCCCAAGCCTGCTCTGCTTTATCTCGTTCCTCATACTCAGGGCATGCAGATGCTGTGGAGAGGAACACCACTGGGGCCAGAGTACATCAAGGGAGCCAAGCGGACAGCGCCAGTGAGGGAAGGAAAGGGTACTAACACAAAGCCCAGCCAGAAAAGAGATGGGTCCTGCAGCATATCTCCCACCACACAGCAAACGGGCCCAGCGCAGGCCCCTGCCCAAGTGCAGCTGGTAGGATTGCACTGCGGGTCCACAACGGGATGCCCTAAGGTAACTGGACTCCCCCTGCTTGCCCAGCTGGTCTTGCGGAAAACTATTCCTAGTTTCATAGAATCACAGAATGGTTGAGGTCAGAAGGGACCTCTGGAGATCATCTAGTCCAACTCCCCTGCTCAAGCACGGTCACCTACAGCACGTTGCCCAGGACCGTGTCCAGATGGCTTTTGAATATCTCCGAGGATGAAGACCTCACAACCTCTCTGGGCAACCTGTTCCAGGGCTCTGTCACCCTCACAGTTAAAAAAAAGTTTTTCCATAGATTTGGACAGAACTATCTCTGTTTCAGGTTGTGCCTGTTGCCTCTTGTCCTGTCACTGGGCACCACTGAGAAGAGTCTGGCCCCATCCTCTCCACACCCTCCCTTCAGATACTTGTACACATTGATCAGATGGCCTCTCAGCCTTCTCTTCCTCCAGGCTGAACAGGCCCAGCTCCCTCAGCCTTTCCTCATAGGACAGATGCTCCAGTCCCTTCCTCCTCTTAGTAACCCTTCGCTGGACTTGCTCCAGCAGCTCCAAGTCTCTCTTACATTGGGGAGCCCAGAACTGGACACAGTACTCCAGGTGTGGCCTCCCCAGGGCTGAGGAGAGGGGCAGGATCACCTCCCTCCACCTGCCGGCAACCACTCCTCCTAATGCAGCCCAGGATCCCATTGGCCTTCTTGGCCCCCAAGGGCACATTGCTGGCTCATAGTCAACTTGTTGTCCACCAGCACTCCCAGGTCCTTCTCTGCAGAGCTGCTTTCCAGCAGGTCAACCCCCACCCTAGACTGGTGCCTGGGGTTATTCCTCCCCAGGTGCAGGACCCTGCACTTGCCTTTGTTGAACTTCATGAGGGTCGTTCTTCCTCAGGCAAGAGTTCTTAGCTATCCACATACACAAAAGTTTCCTTGCCTTGGCAGGGCAGGAAGAGAGGTACTCTATCCACACGGCTTATCCTTACACCTTTCCCTTTTCTTCTGTCCCATCTTCATTATCTCCCTCTAGCGCTTGGCTGTTGACCCAGAGAAACTCAATGATTTGGGGGATGAAGAATGCTGTCTGTGTGCACCAGACCTTCTTGGTCACAACTCAGGGACCCATCAACAGGCCCATACCCACCAGCTGTGTCCCTGGAGGGCTGTGGGAACAGATGCAAGTACAAGGAGCTCTCTCCTGCATCCCCAGGCTTGGGCCAGGAAGCCAACACCCTGGGCTAGGGAGGCCATGGGGTAGTCCAATACAGCAGTTTTCAACAAATTAGTTATCATTGCCTTTCTGAGCGCGCCTTAATTTAAGCTGTGGGCAATGAGCAGATGGGTCAAAGCTAAATGAATACATTCAGGCATCCAAAGGAACAGAGTCCCTCCCCTCCATATATCCGACTGCCTCCCAGGATCCCACTGCATCCCCACACCCTTCCCAGCCTGATCCTGACAGATGCCATGGCCAGCAGGATCCCAAGCCAGATGTGACCAGAGACTCTCCAGCAGCTTAGCTTATTCCTAGATAAATGTGAAATGAGAGCCTCCCCCCGCCCCCCCAGCTCCTCCTGCCTCCTCTGTGAACAGCACGAGAAGCCTAGCCATGGGCAAGCAGGTGGCAGAGGAACAGAGACCAGCAAACAAGCTGCAAACAAGCTGCAGCAAACAAGGAGGAGGGCAATGGGAACAGACATGTTTCACCCACCCAGCAAGCACCCGGGAAGCTCTGCTGATGGGGACTTCAGCAGGGACCAGCAAGCCTGAGTGGCTCAGGTTGAAGGCCTTTCTTGCCCCTCCGTTGCTGGCGTTACCCAGGCTAACAAGGAAAAAACCTACAGAGGGGAAACAAGAAAGGCCTACCCTTCCTGCAGTTATGCAGCATTACAGTTCTCACTGATACTGTAGCAAATACAAGCTCTAAGGAAACTCTCCTCGGTTCCCCAGAGGGTTAGCCTGAGCCATCTGCAACACCATCCCCAGCGGCCGTCCCAGGAGCGAGGCTTTCCCCATACAAGGGGAAGTAGAAGATCCCCATCTCCTCCCCACAAGAGAGGAAGTAGATTTGATCCCCATCACCATCTATGAGCTTTCTGAGCCAAGAACACACTGGCTCTTCATTCCCGAGCTCTTCTTTAATAAGAGATGATAGGTGGTCATGACTATAATAACCATTTACTTTGGCACATTTACCATTTACTGCTTGTTGCAGAGAATCTTTCCCCCAAAGATTCAGTCTTTCGTCACACCACACCTACTGGTGCCATTATTCTTCCCAAAGATGTTATTTCTGGGAACAGAGTACAGCAAGGGAAAGCTGAAGACAGCCTGTGTTATGTGACCAGAGCATGAAGGTTTCGTGAATGCTGCAACTGTGCGTGCAACCGTCATTTGCCATTATGGGAGCAACACACCCAGCTCCATCCCTAGGCTTCGGCCCTTAGTGAAACACCAATGCACATGCACACAGCATTGCAAGGACTGGGATGAAGGCTGGTTCATTATCACAGCAGGGGGAGAAGGGAACAGCAGTAGAGCCTTGAGATCCCTGAACTGCTTTTTAGGTCTTGGCCAGTTCTTTATGGGTGCAATGACTTGGCATGCTGCATCGTGGCTGAGAACATGTCCTGTGAGACACCGGACCTGTGAGGTCACACAAAGAAAGAGAGATCACAACGTCAAAGCCCAGTCAGAGGGTCAGCTCCTCGGGCACCCTGGAGCATAGTGCTGAGCACACGGGGCAGAAAGGGAGCTGGATATTGCACTGCAAATGCATGAGGCTCAGCATGGCAGAGCCACTACCTAAAACTCACGCTCAGCCTGCAAGGGACCCTATGTTTCATGAAACAGATGGCACTCACATGTCTGGTAGGGAGCACCGATCATTTCGAGGAGCAAACATCCACCCAGCAGAAACCAGCATTGCTGCAATTAAACAAATTAGAAACTAGCACCTGGGGGCTGCTACCTGGCTATCAGTAATGGGGAATTAAGAACCATATGGGGTTTCTAGTGGGGCTGACATACCTCAGAAGAGAGAAAGTAAGGGCGATTTTATTGCCGCCTACAGCTGCCTCGTAGGAGGGTGCGGGGAAGATAGAACCTGTCTCCTCTCAGAGGTGCAAGGACAAGACAGGACAAGAGGTAACGGGCACACACTGAAACACAGGAAGTTCCATCTGAACATGAGGACAAACTTTCCTGTGAGGGTGACTGAGCCCTGGAACAGGTTGCCCAGAGAGCTTGTGGAGTCTCCTTCGCTGGAAATATTCAAAACCCGCCTGGACGCGATCCTGTGCAATGTGCTCTAGAGGACCCTGCTTGAGCAGGGAGGTTGGACTAGATGATCTCCAGAGGTCCCTTCCAACCTCAACCATTCTGTGATTCTGTGATACTGGAAATCCCTCTGCCCAGTGGAGGGCTATATTTGCCTTCACACCATAAACACAGTTAAGAAGCCAAGACCATTTTCTGCACCTTTACAGAGCTGAAGCAGGCACATCTGGGGCTCTTAATGCCATGCTGAACTGTACACAGTAGGAAACGCTCTATGACATCTCCAAGCTGTTAAAACAAATAACAAGGGGTAAAGGTTTAAAAAACACTCAAGGGATGTGAGAGTAAGTTCCCTTTTCGCAGTAGTCCAGACTTTATCTCACTGGAAGTCACTGATTTAGGACATTAAGTATTCAAATCACCTATTGGTGAAATAGGACCAAAGCATATAAGACATTTTCTCCTTGATGAATAACTATGTTTGGTAGACATGAACATCTTCCTTTAATCCTTTGTCAGAGGTCTTCTTGGATGAAGGAGCAGATGACAGCACATATAATATTAGGAAGCTGTCCTTTAAGACCAGAAGGGCATGATCACTGTGAGAAGGAGAGCAGATATTCTAGACAGGTTTACACTCTCCTTTGGGTCACGCACACTCATCTAGTGGATTGTCTCCAGCCCTAGAGTTGTCGCCCTTGTGCAAGATCCAGCATAAGGCAGGGTCAGAGCTCTTTCTGTGCAATCCGCCCTTCAGAGCAGCAATTTCCCAATGGGCCTTACCTCAACCCAGCAAAGCCACTACTGAAACAAGAGAAAACCTAGCTGCCCTTTCTGCTAGACCCCAGCTGCCTCCTTGGGAACTTGCAGGTCCTCCACAAATTACATGCATCTTCTGTTTCCATCCAAAAGATGGAGATGGCAACACTCACGAGACAGCCTTCAAACAGCCTCTTGCTAGCATGACTCATCTGTTACCTAGGAGAGGCACAAGAGGGAGGGCTCCATCTGAGGCCATTCTGTAGGCAGGCCGTGCTGAAGCTGCCTACAGCTCTCATCTGCCTTCCAGAAGGGCTTGGCAGTCCCCAACTCTGCCAAAGCAGCCAGTGAAGCAGGTGGAAGCAGATCGGGGAGATACGCAAGTCCACCCCGTTCTTGCGATGAGTGTCAAGCCACAGGATGGTGTGGGCAGAAGCCTTCTCCTCCAGTTTCCTTCAGCTTTGCAGGGAGCCTATGCCTGCAGGCAGCCATAGGCATGAGGCCATGCAGAGAGGAGGTGAGCATGTTCGGACCGAGGCCCCTCATCTGAATGCAGCCTCAGTTACTTGGCAGGGAAAGCAGCCCTGTACGGAGGAGCCCATGTGGTCTCAAACAGTCACTGCTGAGGCCTGTTGACCTCCTGTGCCAGAAGGGTACAGGGTTGGGCCCATGGCAGGAACAGGGGGATCTGTTTGAAAGAGCTGGAGTCCTGCTGAGCAGCCTCTTTCACAGCCTCACATTTGCAGTGTACGAGGGAGGATGCAGCTGAGGACACACATGCACAGCATACGCCAGCCCCAGCATAACAGGGGGCTACACAGGAACCCCAGGGGAGGAAGAGGAGCACACACAGTCTGGGCAGCTAGTGCAGGAGGTAACAGGAATGGAGAAGCAGCCCAGCCCTCCCGGCTGCATGGGAGCCACCCAGCTGGTTTCTGGCCCCCAGCTCTCGGCTGTCAGCACCTGTGGCCCAGCCTCAATTGCTCCCTCACTTCCAGGGGTTGGCAGCTCGCTCCTGCCCAGGCTGTTTCCTCAGTAATGCCCATGTCAGAGGGACAGGGGTCTTGGCGGGGCAAAGCCCAGTGCTTTCGGCTCTCCTGAACGACACCATACACATAGCGATGGAAAGGCCTGACCAGCAGCATGTGGACCGCAGTGTCCTGCTACTCCCCTTCCCCCAGGCAACACGTTTTTTCGCATTTTGCTTCTGGACTCTCCTAGGCAAGTGAACCAGGTCTGCCATGAAGGCAAACGCCAGAGCTCCCAGAGCGCCATTAATACAGCAGCTTCCAGCGCTAATCCAGGATTTAGCTTCTAATGTGTGTGGCACAAAGAGCTCTGCAGGAGCACAAAGCTGCTGAGCTCCCCCCCACAGTGCTTTCAATGGGATCAGCGGCTTTTCTGCCAGCTGACAAGAATGAAGAAAGGGCACTGGCATTCCAGCTGGGCAAGGGGAAACACGGCAGGGACAGCGTGTTCAAAAGGCATCTCGCTTCCTTGCTGTACTGCGGGAGATGGAAAGGACATGTCCGTACCCACAGACCCATCTCTTCCCCACTGCCCTGTCTCTCCCTGCAGCTGGCAGGATGGGGGCAAAGAGCCTCTCCCCTTAGTGACAAAGCTCTTTTCTCTCCCCTCTGCCCAGCACAGAGTGGAGGTGCCCTGCCAGGCCAGGGTACACAGAGAAAGGGAGGGGACAGCAGAGGCAACGGTGAGACAACACAGGGCACAAATGTCAGCAGAAGTCACTCACAGAGGCACCCGATCCCTCGCCCAGCCCTGCCATCCTCCCGGCTTCCCTCCCTTCCCCTGTGGGCTTCCCAGCGAGAGGATGTGGACAGAGGGTACTGCCAGACATCATCAGGTGCTGAGGCTGGCCATAGGGTCGGGACCAGGGCGGGTAGGGGCTGCCGAGCTCCCAGCAGCAAGCAGCTCCAGAGGCAGAAGCTGTCCGAGGCATGCAGGGCAGCAGGGGGCACTCTGTCCTGCAGCAGAGGCCCAACCAGACCTCCCTGCTGCAAGCCAGCACCAGCTGGCTGCTGCTGGTCCTGAGGCATCACTCCCACCTGCCTCGGAGCTAAAACTGCCCTAAGGGTGCCGGCTGACGCAGGAGCGGGACACTGGCACAAAGCAAGGCATGCACAGACTAGCACATCCTCACAGAAGGCATGATGACGGGCTTGCTGCCATGGGGCAGCGGCAAGGAGAGGAGCCTACCTGGATCTTCACAGCGATAAGAACGGAGCTCAGCTCTTTGTCCAGCTCTTTCAGCACTGTGAGCTTCTTCAGGCGCAGACTGCAGAGCCTGTAAGACAGAGAGAAGGGGACGCATTCAGGCACCACCATCCCTAGGGCCCTGCCACATGGTACCCGGCGCTTGGAAGACAGCCTGACTGCTCAGCCCAGCCGCAGGCACGAGCTCGGCTGACCAACGCTGGCATTCACGTGCCACCAAGGCAGCCCATTGGGGACAAAAAAGGAAAGAAGGAAAATCAACAGAGCTAAAGCAGGTTTAAGGGATTAGCATACAACAGGAAGTCCAGCAGCAGGCCATGTGGTGGAGAGAGCCCTTCCCAAATCATGCTGTTGCCAGCTCTGCTTAAATCTGCCTTGGCCACAAGTGCTGTTTATTTATAAACCAAAGCAGTTAAATCCACTCTTATCCTTCGACTTAAGGCAAATGTTCCCATGCAGACATGATAACTCAGCTCATCCCCTGCACAGCATCATGCAGAGCTGGTAGGGGGAGCTGTAAGGCAGCAGCCTCACGGGAAGCCTCCTGCAACTGCAGATCCCAGGGGCTCAGCGCAGCCAGCAGCAGGGCCAGGAAAGACCCACCAAGCAGCCCGAGGCCTAACAAGAGCAGCTGCATTTGCCGCTCGAAGGGCAAGGTGATGCCCATGACAGCCAGGACGGCCAGCCACTCTGAGCTCCTGCATAGGAGCCCACAACAGGATTCCCACGGAGACCTGACGCATCGCAAAGCACAGGCTGGATGAACTTTTACAGAGAGCAACACCAGCATTCCTAGCTCAGCGTCTGCACCGCTGCAGCCAAGAGCCTTCTGCTGACGTGTGCTGCACCCAAGGTTTCAGCTATGCTTTGTGGAAAACAGACGGGCCACAGCCGAATACCTCTGTCTTGACACATTGTGCTCTCTGAGGCCCAAATCTACCAGCCCACCTTCCCCCCCTCCCCCCAGGAGAAAAATCTGCTTTTGTGACTGTGGCTCCGCTGCTCCATCCGTGCTCCAATAGCAGGGCATCACAGGGATCAGAAGCCGGTGAGCTGGGAGTACAAACAAGCTCTGCACATCTCTCTGCACATAGGCTGGATGCCTTAAGACAAAGCCCACCTGCAGCCCCCCCGCGCCCCACCCCTGCACTCGGTGATCCCATCTGTGTCCACCCTTCCGCTCTGGGCCCCTGCTTATAGGATAAAAGGAGTCCCATCATCTAGGGCAGGCTCCCTGCTCCCCAGACATACTTTGGCATAGTTAGGAGCAAGATGCAGGGAACCTGGCCAAAGAAAACCAGGTCATTTCTAGGACAGGGAGGACAGGGCTGAGTGCCTGCCAGAAAGACCAGGGACAGCAGCTACCCAGTCATGCATTGGCTCCTAGGAGGACTGCTCTGAGATGGAGCTCTTTGAATGCAGCCTCTGATCTGAGGTCGGCAGAGACTACAGACAAGCAACAACTTACTCCAACAACCAAGACTTTATTTTCAAATCCCCGAGCATGATCACCTGCAATTGCACTGAAGCACGACTAGGCTGGGTTGCCAGAAGGCAATGACATCCTCCAAGTGGAGGATGCAGTTTGCAATTGCAGATTTTGCTGCTGGGCCCAGGCAATAAATTTGCTTATTAATCCCGACTTGCACGCTCACTGCTTTAATGGTTTCTGAGCATCTTTAAGAAGAAGACAGATACAAGCTGCTTGGCTAAACTCTGAAGAGACTTGACCTTTGAAAGTGATGCTGTTGGGCATTAACAAGCCAAACAGCAGCAAAACAAACCTTACCAGAAGCAAGAGATGAGCATGAATCCACTCAACACTCGCGTGTCACACCGGGTGCAAATGAACTGCAGTGGGGCTGAGCTGAACACACTCTGCAAAAAGCTGACCCATTTGGTCTGATGGGCTTGTCAGGCAGCTTTGCCCTTGCAGAGGAGGGGAAGAGGGTGTTCCTGAGCCTATCTGCACCTCAGCTGTGCATTGCTGGGAGGCGAATCTCACCACCCATGAGCTGAGCCCACCAGCACAGCAAAGGAACCTGCAAACAGCTCTTCCCAACCATCTAAAGCTCCAAGACTTAGCTCCCTTAGCACGAGGCCAGAGTGGGTTCCCTGCCTAATGGGAAGCGTTTGAGATCAGAGCTGAGGAAGGGAGAGCAGTAGGATAAAGAGGCACGTCCAAATGGATGATTTCATCTTGCCGGCAGAGAGTCTCTTCTGACAGAGGGAACAGAAACATTTGCTGAGAGGTGCAGACGCCAAAGGTAAAAGCTGTGGAGCAGAGGCAGCAAGTATCTGAGGTGAGGCTTGCCACAAGCGCGACACACGTGCAGGATGCCCTGTAAGCCACAGGAAAAGGCTGCCTTGCACACCATTAAGAGATCAAGTGGCAAATCAGGGCCATTGCCAAGTGATACCCAGTTACCAGCAAAAATGATACCCACTTATCAGCAACAATTCCTGTAGCACCTGGATTGTAAAACAGCAGCAATAGGGAAGTGATTTACTTGCTGTACTGGACAGCCATCTCCTAATCAGTGGTCATGAGATGCCCTCCCAGATCTGGGATGCAAACTGCCCCTAGTGCCATCAAGGAGCGATGGCCACAGTGAGAGGCACAGCCCAGGTATCAAACAGCCCATCCTCCCCTTTCTCAGGCCCATATCTGTCTGTCGTCACCACCTGAACTCCAGGTGCTCTTCCCAGCTAGCTGGTGTACAAGGCCGCCCTGTCCTGCTGAGCACTTTGTCTCGGCCAACGGTTTATCGCATTTCTCAGGCATCAGTTATCCTATTCCCCCTGTAAAGTGAGGAATAACTGATTGATATGAGGAGGAGGTAACTGTTATTCTCTCCCCTTCATCAATCAATCAGGATCACCAAAATAAAAGACTAAAAGAATTGACCTGTTCTTGTGCTAGGGAAAAATGTGCAGGGAGGCTAAGGTTAGCTAACACCATTTACTAATCAGTGGCAGCAGGGAGGAATGAGGCTTGAACATGTAAGTCAAGGATAGTATATCTACTCAAATCCTCCCAACAGCACTGATCTAGTTGTGGTAGCTACCTGCATAGCAAAGCTATCCCCAAAAAGATTAAAACTTCCATAAAGACATCCAGTCTTAATTTGAGGCTACTGAAGGATAAAAAGTCCAGCTGGCAGTCTTTGTCCTCTGTCTCTGATAAGGCACTTTAAAGCTCCTTTCTTCTCCTCCTTTCCATCCCTGTCTGGTTTCAACGTCTCTTTTACGTACTGGGGGACCCTGTACTCTGCTCCTGGTCCTTCCCACACTAAACGTCAAAAGGTAGTCACCCCCTTCCACCCACTGCTCTTCCCTCCCTGCAGCACCCAAAGATCTCATCAGCTCAGGTATAGCTTATACCCTGCAACTCCAAAGCATTTTCTGAAACAGTGCTCTCTAAAATACCATCTGCCATCCCATGAGTATTAGCGTGCATGTCTGGAGACTAAATGTATTTATTTACAGCACTCAAATGCATCAGTTTTTAAAGGGTGTTCCTAGCAGCTTGGCTTGCCCCAACAGCCCTCTTTTGACCTGCTGCTTAACAGATCTGTGCATCACCCAGACTTACGTTACCTCTATGTGTTTAGCACCAGTACTGGATGGCACTGGGCCTCATGCAAACCCTTGCAGATCTCTATAGGACAGGACTGATCCATGACAACCAGAATGGTATTCCTCTCTGCATACGTCAGCCAAATCCCACGGCAACTTCCCCATTGTTTTGCCCAGAACTGATTGCTCTTTGATCCCCCAAATCATTGAACTTGTGGTTTTTTTGGTAGACCAGTTATAAATCTGGGTCTGCCTGATCATATAATTGAACATAAGAAGGAGCAACTGCTCTTGAACTGTGGAACTACTGCAAGGACTTCACCTGTATCAAGTTATGGTGAACACTACTGTGTAATGCTGATACCAACAAGGCAACAGGGACTCGAGCTCCGAAAGGAGAGTCCTGACAGCATTCTGTAAAGCCAGTACTCCTACACTTCATTACTGGTTATTTACGGGTGAGAGGTACCCACCATTTCTTAGTGTTATCTCCAAAATTGCTGCCTTCTTTCCACCACTAGCTTGGATGGCCAGTCAGCCAAACATCCTCTTTCCTGACAGTACAATCATGTACTTTTTAGACGTGCAACATAAGATAAAGTAGCTTCTACTTTTTTCTTACTCAGCTCTTTCTCCTTATTACAGCTGGTACCAAGCAAGAGTGCACCTCCTCCACACCAACCCCAGCTAAGAAGCACATGTGTGGGTGTGTACAGAAGCACATGTGTGTGTCTCACATCCACCTTAGCTAAGCAGGCACTGACTTTTGAAGCTGAAATGTTGAACTGCAAGCAATTACATCAAGATGAGACCAGAAAAAAAGAGAGAAAGGAGCAAACCCTGGAAGTTACCAAGTTTCTCATCTGATGGCATTAAAATCACACGGGTGAAGTTTTCCAGCATATCAAAACAGTGAAGACACTGAAGTCACACTTTGAAAAGCTCTCAAAGCATTACTCTGCGTACAGTTTCCCTCTCTTTTCCCTCCAGGTGTTGCAGCTTCCCAGCTGATTCCCTCTTCTCTAGTTAAATGGTTTATTTGGAGTTTTTGCTCAGAAGTCTGATGAAACACTTTTAATACTGTCCCCCAACCAGCTTGTGAGTTCATCTCGAAACATGAAGCTCCTGAAACACTTGCTTTTTGTGAAATCCACGTCCAGCAGCAGAGCACTGGCTCCAGCTGTTTGAAAATTCATCCTTCCTCGTCACGGTCACAACAGGTGACCTGTGCTCACAAACACACACAGCGTCTAGTTTTGCTGTTGCATTTTAAAGCTAGCGTTTCAGTGAGTGTCACGCATCCCTAAAACCCCTAGGGCCAGGGGAATACAAACCACAGCCGTAGCTACAGTTCCTAAGGCTGGTAGAAGGGGAAGTAAAATGGGATGAAAAGGGAAGGTGTGCACAGCACAGGCAGTGCAGGCTAGAGCCTGTACTTTGCCTGTAAGCCTGTGATACACAGGGAGAATAACATGTAGGGAGACGAAAGCAATGTTGACCCTACCTGTGGCCCCAGCAAAAAGAGCTGAGTATACCATACATAGCAGGGGAGAGGCAGCTTTAGAAGCATCCTGGAAAACTGCAGCTGCACAACTAACCCAAACCTACCAAGGACTGCAAAAGGTGCCTGGTAGAGAAGCAGCCTGAGCTCTGTGTAAACAAGGAACCTCCGACATCTCTTCTTGCATAGGACCCAGACACTAGGAAGACAGATGTGCCAAGAAGCACTTCCACTGGGAGCATACGCTGAAGCTGAAGGCTGGAGTTTAAAGCTGGGCCGCGATGAGGGCTCTTTGAATGTTAGGTCAGGCCACTAATGTGATGTTAGCCTTAATGGCAGGTCTCACCCTCCCTTTGGGCAGATTTGGTATGTTTTCTCTACCAGTATCCTGGGTTGTTCAGTGCTTGGCTTACTGACCACTAGGATGTGACAGCTTTTTCCGTCTCGGTGCAGTAAGTATTATTTTCCTGAACATTTGCACTGGCTTTCTCAGCAGCATCAGCCAGGCTCCCTGGGCTTTGCCTGAAGCTGCCGTGACATCTAGAAACGTTAACTGGAGCACATCCACCCTTCCCAGCACTGCCCAG